AAGCATCTCGGCTGGCTAGTGCCGAGGCGGCGCATCCCCCAGTGTAGGTCGTGCTCTTGTACATGTCATGAATTTCCGACATACTGCACTTGAGCTGCTGAACACTGTGATATGTCACAGTCTGCTGATTGCGAAGACACATACAATCTTTGGGTCTGGAACGCCAATAAGATGCCTCTATCTGCAGAAGCTGAGTACGCCAGGGAACTGTTTGCGTGTCGCAAGCGGAGCTACTTGTTCTACAGCTACATGTGTCAAACAATGCTCCGACGGGCCAACGGATGGCTGGCGGACCCTGCATGGTTCAATGACTTCGATATACAATGGCAACACAGCCACTCAGGAGTGGCCCTGCAAGCCGCCAGGGCCTCCCAATACCCTCCGGACGAGCAGGACCTTTGACGATGGACAAGACTGCATTTTCCGGTATTATTGGTTCATTTCTGGCCACATGGGCGACCACAGCCGGTGGACTTCCACAGTATGGACTGAACAAGGCCGTCCTTGGACCTCACCACCTCCCCTCCACAACCTGACATGTCCAGGTTGACGACAACGCCGGTGGAGACTTCGGGTACAACAAGAAAGAAGCTGCGCAGGAGACGCACTCGCAATAAGCCTCCGCAATTGCTGAGTCCTTGCAGGAAACGCCTGGAGATGGTTCTCCGCCTTCCGCCTCTTCTTGTCAAGTGCTCCGATCATGTTCTTTTTCAGCTCGACATGTTGCTTCGGTCAGTCAGCTGCATGAGTGGTATCACGCAACCCCTGTCTGCAAACTCCATGGCTCAAAAGGCTAGCTCGACCTCAGGCTGCCCCGGCTGTCGAACAGGAGACCTGAGCAGGCTATCTAGACAAATGGCGGCCACTCCTACCGAGGACACCCAAGGCGAGGAGGAGCAGGGGGCACTGGACATAGCTTCGGAAGGCTCCACAGCCCCTGAAGATGGGGGGCAGAGAATGGGACCACCACCACCATTGCCCATCATTGCGCTCCAAGGCTGGTCTCATCTGGTCTGACGGGCTGTGGCGAACGCCTTAGCGGGCCATGGGTTCGATGGAAGGATCCTGACACATGTGCCATGGGACATCCAGAGCCTCACGGACCTCACCGTCCGCGTGACATACATGACGGCCCAGGACAAGCTGCACCCAAACCTTTTGGACTGCAGAGCAAACCCACCCTCTCGAACCATCGCCGAGATCATGAACCGCGAGGGTCGCACAGTCATGACGGAGGCGGAGCTAGACGAGCTCATCGGCGAGGAGTACCTGGATGTAGCGACTGCGGCTGCAGCTTCGGATGGCGAAGCAGAGACAGCGGAGCCGGGAGAAGAAGCCGCGGAAGCCGCGGATGCAGCACCCTCCTCCAGAACCTCGGACAGCCCGACCAGGCGTACTACCACAGCCTCGGCCAAGCCAAGGGCAACCCCAGCGCGCAAGCCCAGCCCTCAACTCTGTCAGTCACAGCTCTGCCAGTTCTCTCTGATGTGTTGGCAACAGTTTCCTTATGACTCATAACACCAACTCAGGCGAAAGAATGCTGATCGAGCCTAGTCGGAGTAGGCCGCTTTGGCTAAGCCCTGGGGATACACTTCCCACGCCCCAGAGCTGTGTTCCAAGTGGCATCGTCATCGCCACGATTTTGCTTTGGATGCAAGCACAGCCACAGCCGCGGCCAGAACAAAAAGGAGCTTCCTTTGCCCTGGCGGTCCAGCTTTGCAATGTCATCATGATTGCCTATCTGCTTTGCATCCCCATTTCACTGACTATCTCATGGCGAGCCAGGTACAGAACCACGACATCACACACTTCACGGTCGGTGGCTATGCTCGTAACCATCTTTCAGTCAGCCATCACAAGGGCATCTTTGACACGCAGGTCATGGCTTCCTCGACCTCCAGACTGCAGAGCACAGACCTCCGCACCCAAAGCTACGCCTCTTCCAGATAGATATCTTCAGCAGTACAACCGCGCAGGCCGCTTCGCCAACGGTCCCAAGTCCGGTTTCATCATGATTGTAACAGCTCTACCTCAGACAGCGATGCAGATGCGAGGGTGGGGGCTGCTTCCATCACAGCTCACGAAGTCATTCCGGTGATGGCGCCGGGGGCGAAGCCGAATGGAACGCGGAAGGCCAGCGAGCCTAACCCACATTCACTTAGTCGAAGTGTTAAAAGATCATATCGCAGAGCCTACACACGCTCCTGCCATCAAGGCGGGGCCTACTACAAGGGTCAGTGGAGAGACCACAGCTGGTTCACCGGAGTGCAGCTGCGACCTCAATACCTCAAGCCCTATCCTCAATCCAAAGGCAGAAGCACGGTCCATTAGCGAGCACTGAGCTGGAACTCAGGAGGTCTCACGACCTCGGTGTACCAAGAGTTGCTCACATACGCGTCCGACGCCAAGCTGGACATCCTGCTTGTACAAGAGACACGTTGGAAGTTCGAGGGAACGTGGTCTACTCGCGAATTCCACTGCCTGCACTCGCCAGGCCTCGTGTCTTGCGATAAGATGGCAGGGACCCTGATCTTGATCTCCACTCGTCTTGCAAAGGCAGAGCAAATCTACTACCGAGCTCATCACCCAGGACGACTGCTCCACGCTCGGATACCCCACGGACACACACATGTCGACATTGTGAGCGTCTATCAGTATGCAGTGAACGCCCATGAAGCCACACCCGAACGAAGGCAACGATTCTTGGTCAAACTGCAGAGCTGCCTCGCTCATCTACCTCGACGTAATGCCCTTGTTCTTGGAGGCGACTTCAACTGCCCGTGTTTACCCCATAAACATGTTTGCGGACAGGTAGTCACTCAGCACAACGACCTGCACTACCTTGACAGCCAGGATCACCAAAATGTGTGGAGAACACTCCACCTCACGGCCCTTAATACATGGCAACAACCTGTACATGGTCAGGTCGCTACCTTTGTCATGGGCGAGCACGAGGGGGCCCCGAGCTCACAGATAGACTTCGTCTTTGTTCGAGCACAACACGTCACCTCTCGTTCGAAACAGGCCAGTGCTCTTGTGGACTACCCGGTCGCTTCGTGGAGAGGTGGCCCTCGGCACTACCCAATTCTAGCAGAAATACCTGTTCCCAGGCCCAAATGGAACACATCAGTTCAGGCCCCGGTGACGACACACGTGGATAGAGAGCAGATGATCCAAGACCTCAGGTCCACCACTCCGACGACGGCTATGCACAACTTTCGACAAGACGTCCAGGCTCGACTCCCGGCACCTCTGGATGACCTGAACGATATCCTCCTGCAGGCCGCACAGAAGCACTTCCCTCTGAAGAAGACCCCGAAGGCAAACAGCCAATCAGAAGAGCTTGCCAACTGCGCGAGAACTATGTGGGGACTGTTCAGGAAAATGCGAGCCCACCGCTACGGCATGCCGGGCATCATCAACGCCGGGCGTCAGTGGACTGAGTTTAGTAGGGCTCACAGAGTGCACAAGGAACGCTCCAAACAACGGTCAAAGCAGAGGAAGCAGGATCTTTTACAACAAGCCCAAACTGCAGCCACACAGGGCAACGTGCACGAGATGTGGAAACTCATTCGTCAGCTCGCCCCGAAGGCGCCTAAAAAGCGTCTACAACTCCATAAGGATGGCCACATGATTTCCCCGGAGGCAGAGTTGGAATGGATTCTCACAGCATATGGCGAGAGATATGCCACCGACCCTGCCAAGGCACCGATCACTTTTGAGTTCCCGACTTAGAACATCTCAACCCTCGCAAGGCAGTCCTGAAGGGAACTGCACCGGCAATTGCTTGGCGAGCCTGCTCAGATCTGGTGGCTGATCCTGTCGTGCAGGTGTTCAACAAATGGAGCGGCAAGGAGGAGCTTGTTCTCCAGCGATGGGCAGATGCTGACGTCGCGCTGCTGCCGAAAGCACACGGCCGGTCGAATGGACCGCTTGATTGGAGACCGATAGGCGTGCAAGACCCGCTAGGCAAATGCCTCATGAGCACGATCTTCAAACAGGCCAAGCAGGCCATCCACGACCTAATCATTAGGTACCCTCAGTGCGCCTACGTTAAACATCGCTCAACGGGTACGGCACTACGACAGGTATATGCTCACTGCCACGACATCCGCGAACACTGCTCCAAGGCCCGCCTCAACATACATCAGCAGTACGAAGGAGAGACACAAGTCAAGTGTCACGGCGGACTTCAGATCAGCCTCGACTTATCGGCGGCTTTCGACCTCGTGGAATGGAGCCACCTCAAACAGGCCCTAGACTTCGCCCAAGTTGACCTTGCAGTCCAGGAAATCATGCTTACCTGGTTGACACAGGCCCGATACCTTTTCAGACATCGTCACCTGCAGGGATCTATCAAGCCCCGACGAGGCCTCCGGCAAGGGTGTACCGCTTCACCCATTTTGTGGGCCGCCTTCACATCTTTACTGTGTGTCAGCATTGAGGCCAGAACCAGCCCCGAGTGGACCAGACAACACCTTTGCTTGTACGCAGACGACTCACATCTCCGATTCGCTTTGACTCTTTTGAAGCCTTCGAGACAGTCATGGGAGAAGTCCGCATTGTCTTTGCCTGCTTCAGGTTGTTCCACCTCAAGATCAACATGGAAAAGACCAAGGCTATCCTCAAGATGGTGGGAACCCTAAAGGATCGAGTCAAGAAGGAATATGTCCGAAAGCATCCTACCACCAAAAGGCTGCTCCTCAGCCCCCGTGAGCCTGAACAATGGCTCTCTCTGGTTCCGCACACAGAATACCTCGGGCTGGTGATCTCCTACGATCAATTTGAGCTACAATCCTTGCGGCATCGTCTTACTAAGGCTCATAACCGAAGATGGGCGCCGGCGTCAGTTCTTCATTCTCGCAGGCTGAGCATCAAGTATAAACTTGATATATGGCGCAGCTGCGTCTACTCCTCTATGACCTACGGGCTCGCACACTGTGGGCTCACAGGCGACCAACCGGACGAACTTCAGCGTGCCATCATGAAGCACACCAGGGCGGTGATCTCCAACCAGGCCTTTCTCACGGGTGACACACATGAGTCAATCCTTTCTCGCTACAAAATTCCGAGAATTGCGGAGGACTTCAACAAAGAACTTCAGCGTGCTGAACAAACACAGGTGCATTCCCCAGACTGGATGTTTTGCCCAGAATGGCATCGGCATCTTGACTGCAGGCTCCTACAGCGACACACCACGCCGGACTCTGATGATGAGTGCGCGAAGCCGCACGTTTGGGCATGTCCTTACTGCGAGCGTATGTTCCCCAAGCAGGCTGCGCTCAAAGTACATGCTAGACGAACGCACCAGCATGCTGACACACAACCCATTGTCTTCAGCAGAGCGGAGCACGCCACAGGGGGGCTACCTACATGTCGTTTCTGTCTCAAAAAGTTCAGTCGGTGGCAAACATTGGCCCAGCACATCACAGCCAATCGATGCACCAAACTCATACAGCATACTGACCCTCAAGCACCTCTCCCCGACGCTGCAACGACCGTGATAACCTCCCCACACGAAGCAGAGGGCAGCCACACTATATCGTCTTCAATACCACCGCGTACTGCTCTCATTTGCGAGGAAGACAAGGTTCTTGCAGCAGCCTCCAAGGGTTTGAACTCATTCATACAGCTGAAGGACATCACCCCGAGGCTCCAGCAAACATGTGCGTTGTGTGGACAATGGGTGGCTTCTCATAAAGCTATGAAGCGACACTATCAGCATAGTCACCCCCCACCCCACCCCCCCACCCCCGCCCACCCAAATCCGAAGCCCAATTTTTCCAAAATCCAGGAGTGGATTTTGAGGCAAGAAGATGTGGTATGACACGACGAACG